TTCGATCCCCAGTACCAAAAAAATAAAGAAAGAAAGAAAGAAAGAAAGAAAGAAAGAAAGAAAGAAAGAAAGAAAGAAAGAAAGAAAGAAGAAAAAAATATTCTTGGACTTGGAAATTGTAGGGTTTCTTTTCCCCTTGAAGATTGGTTAATAATTTCTTTCAGGGAGGGAGATTTTCTGACCCAGCAGATGGAGCCGGGCAGCCTGATCACTGACTATTGCAAACTGCTGAGTGTGTGCTAATTGCCAGTCATCTAGGTTAGCCCTGGAGAGCTCTAAACAGTTGTGAAGCACTTACTGTATTTTTCCCTTTCCTCCAATCCTTTAAAAAATAACGGCAACACAAAATTCCTTCCTTACTAACTTTTATTCATTTTCAGTCTCTGGGGAGAACCTAATAAATTAAGGGGCAGAAAATTGTACCACTATATTCCCAACTGGCCCTTCTTGTTAGGAGCTTTGAGCGGTTCCCTTGTGTGCTGGGTCAGTCCCTATATCAAGACCTTCCAAAGGCTGAGGAAGTTGGTGACCAAAGTAATAACCTCACAGTAACCCAGCTGACCTTGTTTCCATTTGACTTCTGCTAGGAAGGACATAAGAGACTTTTCTGAAAGAATATGGAAAGCAAAATTGCTCTCAGATTACTGTTTTCCTTGATAAGGGAGCACAGAGAACAAGCCTTTACCAGCAGCCCCAAGCTGAGCAACATGCTGGCAGCTCCTTTGAAGGAGCTCTGTGAACAGGGGAGAGACCATTTCTGACCACTGAGCTCCCACCCTCCTTTCAGTCCATCTTTAATCTCAGCCCAGGCGCTGTGGCTCTTTTCTCATTCTCCTGCTGTCTCTTTCCATTTGCCCTCTCTCTGACTGATACACTGATCTCTCGGTCACTCGGCTTTCTGCTCCACTGAGTCCATATTACTAATAACACCTCCGCCACGGCCAGTTTACCTCATGAAGGCAGGAGCACATCATTACAAAATAAACTCATAACTTTGACATTCTAGCAAATACACGCCATTTGTTATTTTTATGGCTTTAGTCTTTCTAACAGGCAGAGGGCATTACACACCTGTTTCATTTATATCTTAAAATGTGTACACACATGCACATTCACACATGCATCAGGAAACAAAACAGAACAAAAAACCAAATCAAAACAAATACTCAAAGCAGTCAGTTGATGGGAGATCCTGGCAGAGGCAGAAACCCTGTCACTCAGGGAGGCCATGTTCTGATCTGGCTCTGGTTTTATGGTCGTCATAAACCCGATGGCCCACAACTGGTCCTTCTGGGACAGACTGCCTCTCTGATAGAAGTCATTCAGTGTGATCAGCAATATTTTTAATTATTAAAATAAAATTGGAAAGGAGGAAAAGGACTAAAAGGAGACACTGTGATGACCCTGAACATCCGATATTCACAATCTATGTCAGGTGGTTCTGCCACCTGCCTTGCAAGCACAAGGTCCCGAGTTTGATCCCCGGTACCAAAAAAAAAAAA